TTACACAGGGAAACACTGAAGTACAGGTTTAAGGGTCACCCACATGGAAACGGGAACAGCCGAGCTCTCTCATAGAAAATACTGCATATACAGAGGAAAGGAAGAAGAGCTGGAAAAACTGTGAAGGACGCCAAGGTTAGTGTTTTCAAAAAGGACACTAACCTTACTTGATTTAAGGTTCACTCTCACATTGCAGACAGAGAAGTAATACTATACTGAAAAGATGGAAATACCCAGACAACAAACATTTACATCTGCCTATCCTTTCGTTTACCCATTTTCATAAGGCACTCTCACTCAACTGTACTGTCTCTTAGAGTTTGCTATTTCAGTAATCTGAATAATTTTGCACTTAGATACTCAACTACAAAGATTTACTTCATAAAGGAGAGGAAAAGTACAAATAAGATAATTGAATTACCTCTAAAAGTTTGTCTGTAATATCTGAGACAATAACCTTTAATCTTATGGTCCTAAAACTAAATTTCCTTGAGCCCCCTATTGCCGCTAATATGAACCTTCTTAACTTCCTAAATATAAACAGATGATTTTTATCATGATTCCTATCAATAATATCTTCCCTGAAACATTCATGAAGTTGGTTTTTTCCCCCCCAAGCCTTGTCTTACACTGGTATTTAATCAAATCAAAGGCTACAAAATCATTAATTACATAAAAGCTGGCATTGAGTAACATGCATTAATCAAACATAAGACAACCTCATATGTGCATAATTAATAACTGTATTTTCTCACTACATCAAAGACTATCGCCTTTCCACAAAATTTTAATCATTTTCCAACATATTCCCATCAACTTAATTATATTTGAACACAAAGTTAGAAAACTAAGGCTGTTTTAAGGCTAACCAAGTTATAACTTACTAAGATTTGGTAACCCCCAAAAAATTCCAAGAAAATGAGCCACTCATGCAAACTAATATAGAATTCATCTTTGGAAAATCTTATGAGAACTGATGTAATTATTTAGCCTTTGAATGATTAAAAGAGAGACTGTAAGCAATACTACACAGATTTAACAAAACATCAAAGTTATCAGGGGCTTATTAGCACATCAGTCAACTACACACATGTGGGTTTTAGGGTCCTGCGTGTGATTAAACCAGCTGATCATGCAAAGCAACCACAGCCATGAAACATATCGGCATAAGAAGTGTGGAGAAAAAGCTCTACTCTTTTTAATTTGGTTTTGTTTTCTGAACTCATCAACATGGAAACTCACCTAAGTTTTAAGTATTCAGACACTAGCAGAATGATTTTCTCTCTCACCATTATATCAGTGATTTAATGCTCTCCCTTACCGTTCTATCAGTGATTTAATGCAGTTCATCCTAACACTCTGAACAAGCTTATGTTCATAATCCCTTGAACACAAACTGATAATTCACACATTAGGTGAGAAGCAACAGGTTGCTGGGCCTAGCGCTCCATCTGACACTGTCTGTCTTACAGATTGGTAGGAAGGCACTGTTACCTTCCCTTATGTGTTTTACGGTGGGGAGCTAATTAGAAATGAGCAGACCTCTCCCTAGACTAAGTAAATTAGAATTGTTCATGGTGACCTACATAATTTTAACCACAAAAGACCAGAACTGTACCTAAAACATTTTTTACTTAATAATCAATTGAAAGGCTTCAATCACTTTTTGTGATAAACCAGTTCTAAGTTTACTATAGTTGCTTCTGTTCTAGTTAAAATTCTTTGGTAGAATTTTTTCCCTTTCGTAGAAAAAGTCCATTTACAACTTTCGACACACAGGACAGAAAAGACTTAAGATTCTAGAATCACATCAAGGCCTTCAGATTCTACAGCTTCGGTTTTTAGATGGTGAGATCACACACACACATAAGCATAATGTACATATAAACACACAGATATATACCTACACATAGATATCTTTTTTAAGGTAAAAAAAGACCCTCACATGATTTAGAATTATTTCTAAATGTTGACTAACCTAATCTTGTACAGGGGTAAAAATGGTTTAGTTTGTTACCAATTTTTCTCCTGGTATGGTTCAGAAGTATACTGGAATCTGGGCCACATTTCCAAACTTCAGAAGATACAGACTAGAATAGCTCCTGTCTCAAATTCCACACCTGGGCCCCAGGGAACAGTTAGGGGTCCTTTTACACTTTCCTGCATCAGATCTGAAAGCCTTTTCTTTTCATTCACTTGTAAGACTTTCCTATATGTACCTCCAGGTCATCACTCAGAAAAGCCTGATGTCATCTAAAGTGTGCGTTGTCTCCAGAATTACTTCTCCCATTAAAGGAGAAACCAACCAGGAGCAGCCCAATCTCCAGTGATAATAACCGTATTTCTTTATCCAAGACAATTTATCATTTATCTCAAAGAAATCAAATTACAACAAACTTAACATCTATTTTAGAAACAAGAGAATGCTGTTGTCATTTTTTAAAGGTTTCTTTTTCTTTCCTGTCCCAGTGTTAGAAACCGGACCAGACCAAACAAGGACACAGAGTCAGGTTCGGCATCATTCCTAAATGCAGAGCCAACTGTAAAGGGCCATGAGAAAAAGGATGAGAACTTTCTAATTAAAGGTTCCTAGGCCATAGTCAATTTTAGTCAGTAGAGTTGACACTGATAAAATATAAATTTACAAAAAGTATTCGTATTATTTACTGAATGTGAATTGTAATTTGTACTAAAAAAGCAGGTGTACTAATAGTCAATCAATAGAACAACTCATCTGTACAAGCACCTACTACGGTAGAAAAATAACTGGGTGCTACAGATTGTAGAAACAGCTACATATTTAGAGCTCAGGAAGCAAGGGCAGAAAAGACTCAGGGCTCTGGAATCACACAGTAAGGCCTTCAGATTCTACCGCAGGGGTCCTCAAACTTTTTAAACAGGGGGCCAGTTCACTGTCCCTCAGACCGCTGGAGGGCTGGACTGCGGGCCCCAGGATGAGTCGGCTACTAAGCAGGACAGGCAGAGGCAGCAAAAACACCCAGTGGGCTGGATAAATGTCCTAGGTAGGCCGCATGTGGCCCACGGGCCATAGTTTGAGGACATCTGTTCTATAGCTTCTCACTGCCACTTTAGACTAAGAAAGTGTACCACCTATAGGTAGGATGTATACATATAGGTATTTTCTCAAAAGGAGGCAAATACATGCTCAATACTATCAATAATTTGTACTAAGAAACTTGTTTTGTTCACTCCTCCTATGCTCCTTGAGGAAAGAAGTTGTACTGTTAGTGATTAAGAGCACCAACTCTGCAGCTAGACTGCCTGGATTCAACTGGGCTGCCATTTACTAGTCTGTGACCACACAGGAGTTATGGGACCTTTATGTGCCTCGGGTTCACTCATCTACAGAATGGAGATAACAGCATCTACCTTACACATTGTCATGAGAAAACAGGTTGAGCATCCCTATCCAAAACTCTAAAATCTGAAATAATCCATAATCCAACACATTTAAACACCAACATGATGCCACAAGTGGAAAATGTCACACCCAGTGCCTTTGCTTTCTGATGGTAAAATGTACACAAATATGTTTTCAAGCACAAAATTATTAAAAATACTGCATAAAATTGACTTTAGACTATGTACACAGGACATATATGAAACAAATTAATTTTAAGTTCAGACTCTGGTCCTATCCTCAAGACATTTCATTATACATATGCAAATATTCCAAAATCTGAAATACTGCTGATTCCAAGCATTTCAGATAAGGAATACTCAACCTAGAAATAATGTAATACCTGCAAACAATTAGAATTAGGACAGCACCTGTCATACTGTGACTGCACAAACACTAACTAAATTCTCTCTTCATTCATAGATGCCTTGGGTTTCCCAGACGTAAGACCACTAAGTCCTCGGACTACCTTTTATACTCAGTAAGCTCTAATAGACATGATAGACCTAAAAATGTCAATATTGCTCTTAAAGACTTCAAAACCGAATTCCTGAAACCCCAAACTATGAAATTAGATTTAATTTCTTTCCTATTTACAGCTTCTAGAATATTAAGATTAGTTTCCTGAGTTTGCCTTTCTCTGAAATGGGTACAACAAAGCCTGTCATTAGCATAGCTGTTGTAAAGAAGAGTCACTACACTGAAGCCGGGAAGCAGCTTAGGCCACAGTGTTTTATAGATTTGTGCAGAGAATGTAAAACTTACTGTTCAGACTCATAGTAATCCATACGCTTCTTTTTCTTGTTGTAAGCTGCAACTCGAAAGGGAACTATTTCCAGGGTGATTAGACCAGGGGCCATTGTCAGCACTTTGGCACCATGAGTTGGCTCATAAAGATCCTTCCCTGTTTCTGGATGAGGCATCCCAGCGGGGTCTCGGCCAACAATGTAAAAATTGGCTCCTGCAACCATCCGTGCTCTGCAATGCCACTGGACCTAGAATTAAAGTTTGCATTTTAGATAACTATGTTTTATGACCAACTACTTAAAGGTAGTAAATGGATAACAAATGCATATGCTTTTTGTATAATCGTTATCTATTGACAGGAAATTTCAACAAAATTAAAATGTATTATCTTGGGAAGCCAGAAACAAAATTAGCATTAACCGCCCCCACCCCCCGCCACCAAAACTCCTACAACAGCATAAACATGTGTATTTACACATTAATTACTTATAAGAAATATGTAAAGGTTTATATGTACGTAGGTACTAGATGATGTCATTTATACAGTTCAAAATGTAACCTATAAGGTTGGAAGTCAGGACAGCGGTTGACCCTGGAGAGAAGCAGGTTCTACAACCGAAGGGAGCTCTGAGACCCTGGCCACATTCTGTTTCTTGATCTGACATATGGGTGGTGACAACCAGGGTGTGATCACCGTAAAAGTTCAGTGTGCAAAGTTATATGCACACTTATGATTTATGAACTTTCTCTATTATATTTAAAAATCCACCGCATGAAAATAACAAGTTAATTGAGGAGCCCAAACACTGGTACTGATAAAATCGTGAAACTAAGTGATTACTATCTGATACGAGGTGAGAACAAAAAAGGGGTGGGTTCTAAGTAAAACAGCCATGCTACATCCAAAGCTACTGCTTGGAGGCCCTACACTCTCACATTAAGACCCACCACTTAAGAATAAAAACTAGTTAATCTGACCTAGAGTACTAAAACTTTAAAGCTTACACTGGGAGAGATCATCTCTGGTTCAACAATATCATTAAAATCTGAAGAAAGTGAGCCCCTCAAAAGTTAAGTATCTTTAAGTTAAAGACAAACCCAGGCCTAGAAATCTCATCTTAGCTTCTTTTTGAAGTAAGTCTCTATTACTTAATGTTTTATATAACCACCTATATGAAAGTAAGGTACAAATGATGACTATACCAAATGAACAATCAAAACAGCTTTTACTGTTTTGTTTGCATTTTATGTCCCTTAATAGTTTCTCCTATATATCAGGCACTTATGTGTTTACCATTACAGTTTAGAAAGTGCAATGCTTTTAAACAGGTGTTTGCCATACTTATTTTATAGTTGTTTTCAGGAAGAGGGCAAGTCCAATGCAGAAGGGTAAGGCCAACAGCAGTTACACCAGCATGACCTCAGCAGAAGTCTGGATAAATTTTTAAAGAGGCAGAAACATTTTTGTAGACAGACCAGGCACAGAAGCCATGGAGTACGAGAGATTCCAAGATGTTTCAAAGAATTATGATTACCTAAGATAAGGAGGGGCGAAAGAGAAAGCAGAAATGGCGCGGTAAAGTAACACAGTTAACACACTAGACATACTGACCTATTTGGTGGACATCCATGGCTGGACATACAAGTTAGAAATTTTAAAAAGAGGTGTGAATTAGAGAAAAATATTTGCGCATCATCAGTATAGAGAAGATATTAAAAGCCAGGACAGTAGCCCAAACCAGAGGGAATAGTATGGATTCAGAGGAGAAAAGAATCATCCCACTGAGATAAAGGAGATGAAGAAGTCTGATTATTTCCTTAAAAAGAGGAACAGATGGCCAAAACTCATGGAATTTTAAGCCTTTAGTTACACATTATCAAGTCATTTCCCAAAACAGTTTTACTAGTCAAATAACTTGTACATTATTTGGCTCTCTTGTAAATCGCTGAGAGTGTCAGAATGTAAACTGACACAACCGTCTTTGAAAATAAATTTGGGTTACCATTTCAACTTGAATATTTACATTTTGCAGGACCCAGAAATTCCAGTCCAAGGAGGAACTTGTGCACACACAAGACAGGCACCAATAAATCATGGCAGCACTGTTTATAAAGAGTAAAAGAGAACAGAAAACAAAAACAATACATACGACAAAAAAGGAAACAATGTAAATGCTCAACAACAGACAAACGAACTGCAGGAATTCTCATAATGAAACACAAATGTCACAGATACCAAGATGAATAAACTGTATACGGCTACATGCACAAACATACAGAAGAGCCTTGCTAATGTCAAATGTACCCATCAGTGCCATAAGAGGTTAAAGCAAGTCCCAAAAGAACTAAAATACTATGTCTTTTTAACAAAGTTGTACAATAAGTAAAGCTAAGCTGTGCACCATTGAAGCATATGTACATATTTTAAAACTGTGGGTAAGTGCATAAAGACAAGGTAAAAAATACACGTGGATGCACCTTATTACTCGGTGGTGGGGGTGGGGGGCACTGCAACAGAGGGATGGGATGGGCTAGAGCACCTGCCAGATCAGCGGTTCTCAACCTGGGGGTCGCAACCCCTTTGGGGCTCGAATGACCTTTTCACAGGGCTCACCTAAATACAACCTGCATATCAGATATTTACATTACAATTCATAACAGTAGCAAAATTACAGTTATGAAGTAGCAATGAAAATAATTTTAGGTTGAGGGTCACCATAGCATGAGGAACTGTATTAATGGGTTGTGGTATAAGGAACGTTGAGAACCACTGATCTTTCTCAGGTGAGGGGCAATTCAATGTCATTCATTAGTTATTTTAATAACTATACATATATGTATGTGTGTATATATGTGTGTTTATATGTATATATGCACACACAATCATATATACATATATATATATATATATATATTTACACACACACACAATCAAAATTAAAGAGCGCAATGAATCTACAAATCAATGATAGTGTGCCATGGACCAAGAGTACGACTATTCATCAACAGAAGCTACCCGTGTCTGGTGGTCCAGCGCTGGTTTCCACTACAGCTTCATGAAACCTGGCCAACCGATTACAGCAGATGTCTACTGCAAGCAAATGGATGAAATGATGAAGATGCCTGTGAAGCAGCCAAGATTGGTCCATAGAGACGGGCCAATCTTCTTGCAAGACCACAAGTCACAAAAAAACAATGCTTCTGAACATACATAAGCTGCATTTGGAAACTCTGTCATCCACCGTATACACCAGACCTAGCTCCAGCTGACTGCCACTTCTTTCGGGCTTTGGTCCACTTCTTATAAGGAAAAATATTCAATTTTCAACAAGCTGTGGAAAACGCCTTTTGCAATTTCAGCACCACTTGCTCTCCAGGCTTCTCTGCCGCTGGCATACACAAGCTACTGCCCATTTGTTCCTTTTCTTTTGAAAAATGTCTGTCCGTGCCTTTTGCCTACTTTCCAAAGGGGTTACTCGGGGTTTTTTCCCTTGTTGATCTACCTGAGTTGCTGGCAGATTCTGGATATTAGGCCTTTGTCAGACATGTAGTTTGTGAATATTTTCTCCTGTTCCCCAGGTTGCCTATTTACTCTGTTGATTTTATCTTTTCCTGTGTAGAACCTTTCTAGTTTACTGCCTTCTTTGAGAAAATGAAAAAGGAAGAGAAGGATGGAAGGTAGAACTACAAATAAATAACACTGAGGTTCAACACTTATCTCACCTCCCCTTTAAGTAAGGGTCAGGAACTGCCTCATCTAACTGAAAAATAGAATATTGACTACTTAAAACAAATAACTACAATTAAAATAGATATCTGTTTCAGAATTTTCTCCCCACGTACATTTGCTGAGGTTTACTTGAATCAGTGCTTAATTTCCACAG